CGGCGCGGCAGGCAGCCTCGCGCCGCTGCCGCCGCCGCCGCGCCGACGGCGACACCATGGCGGGGCGCGGCGGGAGCGCGGAGGGGAGGCCCCGTCCGCGCTCCCGTAGGAGGGGGGGCCGAGGGCCAGGGGCAGGCCCCTGGCCGCGGCCCGGCAAACCGGCTCGGCACCTCGAGCCAGAGCGGCTTGAGCCAGAGGCTACGGACCCTGGTGGGGATACTTTTTTTGATCTGCGGCTCCAAGGACGATTCCAGAGAGCGGGTAGTATCGATCATGAGGTGACACGCGCTGGTGGGGATACGCGAAGCGTGAAGAATATTCATAGCTCTGAATAGGACACTGCACCGTTCTCATTGGAGCACCGTTAAAGTCACATGCGAAAGCTGCACGCGTATCGTGCAAACCGTATGCAGCTCTCCTATGGATGCTGCAAGTTCTCACACGACAATAATACAGCTCCAGTTTGACAGCTAAACGCTTCCCACCTGGAAACTACGCAGCTGACATATTGAAGGACACAACTTGGTACCATTTCCAACCCTGGCCCTGTTATTTCCCCAAACAACTGTTTACACATACATTGCCATGTGGTTCTTGGGTAGTGGTAGAACACTTCACACTGAGAATCTAAGTGCAATGTTTAAAAAAGGCGGGGCATAATCGGTTCCGATCGTGTTTTCGGCCCGTTGAGACGTGCACCAATGGGTTGGGCTTGGCACCACTGGGTTTTGGTTGATCCGTCATGCGGTTCAAACGGCACCCCGCCCACTCTCATTTTCGAGTGGGGGGATTCTCGCTGGAGAGGTGGTGGGGGTTGCAGAGGGGATGGTGGGGAGTGGCGGCATTTTCGGAAGGGGGCGAATTTCACACGAGTGCAACATACACAGAGAACGGTTCTATCTGACCTCTTGGTGTAGCACCAGTGCAAGTAGGAATGCGTGTAAGACTTGGAGTATCGGTAATGGTTGGGAACGCAAGCAGCCGACACGAAACTGTGGGGAGGGCGAAAAAGGAAAAGGAGGAGGAGGAGGAGGACCAGGAGCAGGAGGGGAGGGAGAAGGAGAAGGGGGACGAGTGGGAGGAAGAAGCTTCCCTCTTCCTCCTCCTCCTTTTCCTCCTGCTCCTCCTCCTCCTCCTCCTCTTGCTGCTGCCCATCTTCGTCGTCGCCGTCACCGTCCACCTCCGCCTCCCCCTTCTCATCCTGATCCTGCTCCTCCCCCTCCTTTTTCGGCGCCAGACAGGATGAGCCTGGCGAGCTTTCGGCCTTCAACGGGTTTCAAAGGCATCGCCCCTCCCCCCCCCCCGAACTCCGTTGAGTTCCTCCTCCTCCTTCTCCTCATCATCACAATCGGCAGCAGCAGCATCAGCATCCGCATCAGCAGCAACATCATCATCAGCAGCAACATCATCAGCATAGTCATCAGCAGCATCACCATCATCACCCGATTCATCATCCATCTCACCATCATCAGTATCATCAGTATCATCATCATCATCATCATCATCATCATCATCATCATCATCATCATCATCAGCATCATCATCAGCATCATCACCATCATCGTCATCATTGGCATCATCAGCATCAGCAGCAGCACCATCATCAGCGTCAGCATCATCATCCTCATCGTCTTCGGCGTTATATCGTCATCGTCATCGTCATCGTCATCGTCTTCGTCATCGTCATCGTCATCGTCATCATCATCATCATCATCATCATCATCATCATCATCATCATCATCATCATCATCATCATCATCATCATCATCATCATCATCATCATTCATTGTCGTCGTCGTCGTCGTCGTCGTCGTCATCGTCATCATCAAACTCAGCATCATCGCCATTCCGAATGGCTCTCACAGGCAATGCGTTATTGGTTCCTGATTCTGGTTGTGCTCTTGCCCTATCCCCCTCCCCATCCTCCTCCTCCCCCCCTCCTCCTCCTCCTCCTCCTCCTCCTCCTCCTCCTCCTCCTCCTCCTGCTCCTGCTCCTGCTCCTGCTCCTGCTCCTGCTGCATGGTCTGGGAGTCCACGACACCTCGCCAGGCGGTGTTTTTTATGCTTTTGTTTTCTGGTCTGGGAGCTCACGAAACCTGGCCAGGCGTTAGGTTTTCTGTTTTTTTCTGGCCTGGGGCCTCACAAAACCTGGCCAGACGTTGGTTTTTCTAGTTGTTCTGGTCTGGGAGCTCAGAGAACCTGGCCAAACGTTTCTCTGGTTTTGCTGGTCTGGGAGCCCACGAGACCTGGCATGGAAATTGGGGGCTTGCGAACTACTGCCGTCAGACCAGAAAAACCAAAAACATATCCTGCGACGCGCCCAACCCTTTCTACACAAGTGACACATGCATTCATGAGCACTCAATACCGAAGGACATGTCGGCGCCATGGTATAGTGGTGATCTGCGTAGGACGTACCTTCGCTGAGCCTCCCAGAAGCCCATGCGCGCCAGGTGAGCCAAGCGCGCCAGGCGCGCCAGGTGATCCAAGCGCGCAAGGCGCGCCAGGTGCGCCGGGTGCGCCAGGTGCGCCAGGTGCGCCACGTGCGCCAGGTGCGCCAGGCGCGCCAGGCGCGCCAGGTGCGCCAGATGCGCCACGCGCGCCAGGTGCGCCAAATGTGCGCCAGGTGTGCGCCAGGTGTGCGCCAGGTGTGCCAGGCGCGCCAGGTGCGCCCAGCGCGCCAGGTGCGCCAGGTGCGCCAGATGCGCCAGGTACACCAGGTGCGCCAGGCGCGCCAGGTGCGCCAGGTGCGCCAGGTGTGCGCCAGGTGTGCGCCAGGTGTGCGCCAGGTGTGCGCCAGGTGCGCCAGGTGCGCCAGGTGCGCCAGGTGTGCCAGGTGCGTCAGGTGCGCCAGATGCGCCAGGTGTGCGCCAGGTGCGCGCCAGTTGCGCCAGGCGCGCCAAGTGCGCGATGCGCGCCAGGCGCGCCAGGTGTGCCAGGTGCGTCAGGTGCGCCCAGCGCGCCATGTGCACCAGGTGCGCGCCAGGTGCTCCCAGCGCGCCAGGTGCGCCAGGTGCGCCCAGCGCGTCAGGTGCGCGCCAGGTGCGCGCCAGGTGCGCGCCAGGCGCGCGCCAGGTGCGCCAGGTGCGCCAGGTGTGCGCCAGGTGTGCGCCAGGTGCGCGCCAGGTGCGCCAGGCGCGCCAAGTGGGCCAGGTGCGCCAGGTGTGCGCCAGGTGCGTCAGGTGCGCCCAGCGCGCCAGGTGCACCAGGTGCGCGCCAGGTGCTCCCAGCGCGCCAAGTGCGCCAGGTAATCCCAGCGCGACAGGCGCGCCAGGTTCGCCAGGTCTGCGCTAGGTGTGCCTGGCGCACCTGTCGCACCAGGCGCACATGGCGCCAGGTGCGACATGCGCGCCAGGTGCGCCAGGTGTGCCAGGTGCGTCAGGTGCGCCCAGCGCGCCAGGTGCACCAGGTGCGCGCCAGGTGCTCCCAGCGCGCCAGGTGTGCCAGGTGCTCCCAGCGCGACAGGCGCGCCAGGTGCGCCAGGTCTGCGCTAGGTGTGGCAGGTGCGCCAGGTGCGCCCAGCGCGCCAGGTGCGCCAGGTGCGCCAGATGCACCAGGTGTGCGCCAGGTGCGCGCCATGTGCGCCAGTTGCACCAGGCGCGCCAGGCGCGCCAGGTGCGCCCAGCGCGCCAGGTGCGCGTCAAGGTGCGCGCCAGGTGCGCCAGGTGCGCCAGGTTCGCCAGGTGCGCCAGGTGCGTCAGGTGCGCCAGGTGCGCTCCAGGTGCGCCCAGCGCGTCAGGTGCGTCAGGTGCGCCCAGCGCGCCAGGTGCGCGCCAGGTGCGCCAGGTGCGCGCCATGTGCGCCAAGGGGACAGGGAGGCCTCAAAATTGTCAGCGTAAGACGTACCTCCGCTGGGCCTCCCAGGAACCCACGAACGTGGCGACAGTTGCTCAGATCGCAAGCCCCCCAGGGGATAAGGAGGCCTCAACATGATCTGCGTATGGCGTACCTCCGCTGGGCCTCCCAGGAGCCCACGAAGTGGCGACAGTTGCGCAGATCGCAGCCCCGCAGGGGACAGCCAGGAGCCCACGGAGGTGGCGACAGTTGCGCAGATCGCAGCCCCGCAGGGCACCGCGAATACAGGAGAGACGGAGGAGGAGAGAGCGGGAGGTGGATATCACAGTGCTCTATTAACGAGTACCCAACACAAGGAGGGTTGGGAACAAAACATCGCCTGGTCAGGTTTTCTGAGCTCCCAGACCGGCAAAACCAAACACCAAAGCCTGGCTAGGTTTTGTGGGCTCCCATGCCAGCAAAAACCAGAATAACCAACGCCTGGTCAGGTTTCGCGGGGCCCCAGGCCAGACAAATACAGACAACCCAACGCCTGACCAGGTTTCGTGAGCTCCCAAAGCAACAGAAACAAGAAAAAACAACGCCTGGCCAGGTTCCGAGGACTCCCAGACCATGCAGCAGGAGCAGGAGCAGGAGCAGGAGGAGGAGACGGAGGAGGAGGAGGAGCTCCCAGACCAGAAACACCAGAAAAGAAACAACGCCTGGCCAGGTTTTCTGCGCTCCCAAACCAGAAACACATAGAACACGTCTTGCCAGGCTTGCTGGGCTCCCAAACAAAAAAAAAACAACATACCAACCAACGCCTGGCCAGGCTTCGTGAGCCCCCAGACCAGAACACCATAGAAACCAACGCCTGGCCAAGTTTTCTGAGCTCCCAGACCAGAAAACCAGAAAAGTCACAGCGCCTGGCCAGGTTCCGCGGAAGCGGATTCGGATTGAAGGAAAAAGGAGGAGGAAGACGGTACAGGAGGAAGGATGAGAGGAGGATGCAGTGAAAGGAAGAAGAGTGGAGACGAGGAGTGCAGCAACACGAGCGGTTCCTTTTTCAAACCCTTTGAAGGCCGAACGCCCGCCAGGCTCATCCAACCTGGAGCTCCTCTTTCTTCCCCCGTCCCCGTCCCCAGCGGCGACAACGACGACGACGCTGACGTAAACGACGACGGCGACTACCACGATGGCGACTCGGCAAGCGCGCGTAGACGTGCCTTGGCGGACGAGCTCGACGGTGCCGCCGAGAAGCTCTCTATGGCCCTGAAGATCTTCTGCGCCTCGTCGGCTGGCAGCTTCTCCTTGAGGTCCTGCGGGCGCGGCGGCCGCTGGTGTCGCCAAGGGGGGGGGGGGAGGAGGAGGAGCAGAAGGAGGCGGTGGATGTGGAGGAGGTGGAGGAAGGAGGAGGGCGAGGTGGGAGACTGAGAGCGATGGTAATTGTGGTTGTAATAATGCTGCTGCTGATGATGACGATGCGGATGCTATTGATGATGCTACTGCTGACTATGATGATGCCGACGACGACGATGATGATGCTGACGATGATAATGATGATGCTGATGTGATGATGATGCTGATGTGATGATGATGCTGATGATGATGATGATGATGATGATGATGATGATGATGATGATGGTGGTGGTGTTTGTGGTGATAGCGATGATCATAATAGTGATGCTGGTGGTGGTGATGGTGGCATTGATGAAAAGGAGGAGCTGTGGGGGGAAGGGGAGGTGTGTGTGTGTGTGTGCGCGGGGGGAAGTGCTCCCCTTCCTCGTCCTCCCCCTTCCCTGCTCCTTCCCACTTGCCGTCCCCCTCCTTCTTGCCGTCGCGCTCCTCCTCCGCCTCTCCCTCCTCGCCCCCCCTTCCCCATCGTCCTCTCCATCCTCCCCCACCCCCCCTCCTATTACCCGTCCTCCTCCTCGTCCCCCTCCCGCGCGAGGCAGAGCAAACCGAGCACGAAGAAGAAACGGGGTTCCAGATACGGTGGACGGCAACGGCCGTGGACGGGAGATGTAGGGGGGTGCAGGAGGAGCTGGAAACGCAGGAGTGGGCAAGCAAAGTATCATGCTATGCGCGCTCGGAAAAAAAGGGGTGGTGCGTACATGGAGGAGGAAGGGGAGGAGGAGGAGGCGGAGGAGGACAAGTGCAAACCCAAGAGCCATCAACGATGTTGGAGGCAGCCCTCCTTCAAGCTCCCTCATCTTAGGCCCCTACAGCGGTTCATTTCCATTGAAGGAATTGCCTCGTTGGAAGACAACTGTTTGAATACCCTGAATCACGCCAAAGCAATGATCTCGGGATTCAAACGCCACGGATCAACCTGACTTTGCGGTTTGGCGATCCTGAATCATGTCAGAACGCCGTTCTTGGGGCTTCAACACAGCGAATGAACTTAATTGTTGCACCCCTTAATCCTGAACCCGTCCAAAACACAATGTATGGTACTTTGACCATGGGAACAAATGAAACTCTTGCACATGTTACTGACGAGTGTGCGCGGCGCTATGGCAAGAACCGCATTTTGAAAAAGAACCGCCATCACTCCGTGAAGCTCTTGCATTTGTTTGTAAACCAAGAATGCGCGCGGCGCTACGACGAGAACCACATGTTGAAAACGGGTTCCCCTCAATCCGTGAAGCCCTGGCAAATGAGCCGAACGAATGTACACGGCGCTAAAGCGAGGACCACCTGTTGAAAACGACCCGACATCACTCAATGACACTGTTGCGAGTTTCAAAAAAAAACAACGCATGCGTGCGGCGCCTAATCGAGAGCCGCATTTCGAAAACGACCCGCCCTCAATCCGTGAATCTCTTGCAACTTTGATTGGCGAATGTTCGCGGCGTTAAGGCGACAACCACACTTTGAAAATGGTCACCCCTCAACCCGTGAAGCTCTTGCACATGTTTGAAACGAGTGTACGCGGCGCCAAAGCGACAACCACATTTTGAATAAAACCCGCCCTCAATCCGTGAAGCTCTTATATTTTTTAGAACGAATGTGCGCGGCGTTAGGGCGGAAGCCACATTGCGAAAACGGCCCGCCCTCCATTTGCGAAGCTGTTGCCAAGTTTGACGCTTCATGGTCATAAATGGTGGGGGAGTCTCAGGCGAAACGCTGGGCCCGCGCTACAAACTGGCCTTGGGGTGCGAGAGGGAGAAATTATTTTTAAGGAAAAGGAATGGAGGAGGAGGAGGAGGAGGAGGAGGAGGAGGAGGAGGGTGCACAGGACGATGAGCAAGGGGAGAAAACAAGGAGGAGGAGGAGGAAGGAAGAGGATGCGGCGAGGACGAACAAGACCATCAGGAACTGGAATGGAGGAGCAGGAGGACCAGGGGAAGGCGGAGAAAAAGAACTGAGGGTGGCGACGACGACGAAACGGGACTCGGATTCAGAAGAGTGGCCTGTGCTGTAGGGAGGAAGCCATCCTGAATGACGGGCGCACAACGCCGATCCGATAATGAAATCCACATTGCAGCGGAAACGCCATTTTAAAACTCCGAAGCCAACCATGTTACAAACATACATATGGAGCATCAGACTTTGAAGTTCAGAGCAAAATCGAAATTCGCGGGGAAGGCCCGATATCCGCCGCGCAAAACCAGGGCAGAGAGGATAGTCGTACTCATAATGTGTGAGCGGAGGAACCTTCCCCCTGAGGTCCTCATGCGGGTTGGCGCGGTGGGCGACGGCGGCGGAGGGATGGAAGAAACGTAGGAGGAACGCGGGGAAGGGAACCAAACCGCCCACGTGACCCGCTCGCCCCGCCCCCTTCCAACCCCGCGGTAGTCGGGGTCCACCACGCGGTTGGTGATATCGATGCCCTTGAGTGTGAGCCCTGAGCGTGGGGCAATACGTATGCATGTGCATTGGCGCTAGTGCTGCCACGTCGGTGCGTGCCAGTTCCCGACCACAAGTCGGAATACCGGCGTCGAAACTAGCGCACAACATGTCGTAGCCGGGCTCCCGCATTCGGACTGAGAAATTGGACCATTAGCTTGTTGAGTGTTCGTCCGTCGGCGTTGTGGTGATCCTGGCTGTCGTTGCCTACCGCAAGCAGCGTGAGCTGCTATGGCGGCAGGCTCCCAAATTGCGGCTGGAGCACGCAAAAATCATCGACTGCAATGCAGATGTGCCCACTCGGAGCGGACTCCAACTCGAAGTGCGTCCCAACTCCGTGCGGCTTGGCGTTGCTAGTCTGCCTGCTGTCGTAGCAGTTCCAGTGCCAGCTGTGTGCTGTGGAGCTCGTCGAGGTGTCGTCCTTAGGCGTACGTAGTCGAGAGTAGAATGTGCGCTGTGCTCGGGCCGATTCCCGCTGGACGTCCATGTCTCGCGGCAGGCAAGCCGCGTGGCCGCTCTCCCCGACGGTTGTCTCGCGCCCACTGGCCTGTCTGCGTTGGACAAGGCCAATCCAGCGGGAATGTCCAGCACTGGCGATGGCGAGGGAGTCGGCGCCGATAGCGGTGGCCATATGGAGCTCGATCCGCATGGCGTGCTGATGCCGAGCGAGGCCACTGATGGCAAGTAGGCCCAGCTCGGCAACTGCGCGTCGGCAGCTGGTGGCGCGGGAGCTGCGGCCTGCGCGCGGAGGCCGCCCGGCCCAGTCGCGCCCGTGGTCCTGTCCCAGAAAAAATGCACCGCCAATTCGTGACCATTCTGGCAATGCCGGCGGCGTTGCGTCGCCACCGTGCTTTGGCGCGCGCGCGGGCCCGGAACAGGTGCGCGCCGCGTTGCTCCATGGGATCATCGATTTGCTCGGGGTCGTCGGCGACGATCTCTCCTTCGCTGAATGATCAGATGGCGTTGGCGTTGGTGCCTGAATCGACGGCAGCTGCCAGGGCTGCCTCCTGCGCTGGCGACGATGGCGCAGGCGGGCTCGGCGTCGCCCTCGGTGCTGACGGACCCAGGCCGTCCCAGCTCGACCGGCCGCGTTGTCGCGGACGCTCTGAGCCTGATCCTGCGCGGGCGTGTCCGTTGAGGCGAGATTCCCAAGCGACCCCGGGCTGCAGGATCATGGTCAGCGGCGCGTTGACACTCCCACCGCGAGCAAGAGGAGGAACCTGAGACCCTCGTGGCCGATCATGAGTTGACCAGCTTGGTGGGCGCGGTTGCGGAGGACGTCGAGGCGCGCAAGGGGGCGATCTATGCGATGCTGCGGCAGTCGGTTGATTGAAGTTCATGAGTGCTGAGACTGCCGGGGCGCGCTCCTCCTCGCCCAATTGGCCCCGACGTTCGGCCAAACTGCGTCGGGAATTTCATCGGCGGCACTGGGTTCCCAGTGGTGGTAGCTCCCTGCATGAGGGCAGCTGGCGGCCACTCGTCCACGCATTACAGGGCCATATCGGCCGCCTGGCGAAACTCGTTGAGGTCCGAGTTCGGCACTGGCCAAATCGTCACCTCCTGCGCCCAGCGTTGGAAATGCATCCGAGATTGCTGCTCGGGCCCCCAGGCGCGGGAGTGCCGCGCGCTGCCGTTGTCGCTGCCTGCGTCCATGCGGGTGCGGCAGCTGGCCAGGGCGATCATGCCCACTCCTATGGTCTTCCATCCGGAGTGAAGGTCCCCCCGACGGTCAGGGGGGCGCTGGAGGCTGGGGCCCGCCGACGGCGTTGCTCCGGGCACGGGCCTCGGAGACGTCGTGGGCTCCTGCCCCTGATGTGTTCCTCTTCGTCAGCGCATTGACGACTGTTATCTGTCGCGCCGTTGCGGCTGTCACTGCGCTCGGGACACCCCGCAACATAAATGCACGAATACCCCTCTCCTCGTGCGTCGTGCCGTCATTGTACTGAGTACCGCCGACTGCGCGATAGTCAGGAGGAGTGCGCATCGGGATCTCGTCGTGCCAGTCTGAATGGCATCGGTGTGCATGGCGATGTGTGGTGTACCAAAAGAACGAAGGCAATTCGTCCCAGACCTGTTTCACGGTTCCTGAGAAATATGACAACCTCATTGTCAGGCGCTTCACTGAATTCCCACTCTTCTCAGTTCTCTTCTCTGCCTGTGTTTTCAGGGCCCCCGCAACATTGATGCGAGAAGCTCGGTGCCGCTTGGTGAGGCTGTTTATGGGAACGATGATGGTTCCTTACTCTGCAGCCGAAGACAACGCCTGTGGTTCCTACATCGGCTCCAACACAGTTTGAGCACGCCCCGGCAGAGAAGCAGGCTTCGGCGGGGTGGCGCCGCGCTCCTTGAGGTTCTCGATGCCGTACTTGTTTTGCCTCGTCGCTCGTCTCAACGAATACGAGTTAGCTGAACACGGAGAGCAAGACAAACACACTCGTGCCGAACACGTAAAAGGCTTATTGGGGAAGGGGCCGAAACAAAAACAAAGGACTGGCGGAACTGCCGCGCGGGCCATGGCGGCGAGAGGTGGTGGAAGTGGGCCTGAGCTTGGGTACCAACTAGTACAACGGATGTGGTGGCAAAGCGATGCTTCTACCTGAGCACGGTAGACATGAGCACGCGTCTAGCACGAACACGGGAGCGCTGTAGGCTCCCGTGCCCCAAGGCCCAACGGCAGCGGCAAAGGGAGACACTTACAGGGAAAACGAGGCAGGAAGGGTAGGTTGGCGACCGTTCGAAAAACAAGCAGCACGAGGATGGAGGACGAGCATAATGATGGGAGGAAAACGGAGAAGGGAGAAGGATAATTAGCAGGAGGAGCAGCAGGAGGGGGAGGGAGGAGGGAGGGAGGGGGGAGGGGGGAGGGGGGAGGGGGGAGGAGGGAGGAGGAGGAGGAGGAGGAGGAGGAGGAGGAGGAGGAGGAGGAGGAGGAGGAGGAGGAGGAGGAGGAGGAGGAGGAGGAGGAGGAGGAGGAGGAGTAGGAGTAGGAGGAGGAGGGAGGAGGAGGAGGAGGAGGAGTAGGAGTAGGAGGAGGAGGGAGGAGGAGGAGGAGGAGGAGCAGGAGGAGCAGGAGGAACGTGGAGTGTGAGAAGAGGAGGGCGGGTGAGGAGAGCGGATCAATGAGAAGAACAATCTGAAAACACATGAGCTGGGAACTTACCCCGACTGCTCCACTCCTCGAACATCGTTCGTCTCCCTCCTCCTCCTTTACCGCTTCCGCTCTCCGTGCCGTTGCTGCTCGTTGCCGTCACCGCTGTCGCCAGCACCGTCGTCGTCCTCCTATTGCTCATCCCCCTGATGCGCCTCCTCCCTCAACTTGTTCCTCGGCCTCCTCCCTCAATGCCCCTTTCCTTCCCGTGCCCCCCCCCCACGCCGCCTCCGGAAGGAGGGAGGGAGGGCGGGAGGAGGAAGAGGCCTCTCGGGAGCCCTCCCTTTGCAGAGTTCGGCACGTGGAGGGGGGGCCTGCGGCGTCGTGGTGTGCTCCTTGTCCATCCCCGACCCTTTTACCAGCAGCCCCCCCCCCCAAGTGTTCGGGCGTGTCCCCCTACAGAGGGATTTTGGGCGAAAGCTAAACAACTCTAAACATACCCCCCAAATGCTCAAAAATGGTCAAAACATCGTCACCAGAGTATTTTTGACTATCTTTGAATATCCACCTTGTAGAGGGACACGCCCGACTTACCCCAGCGCCTCCTCCTTCTCCTCCTCCTCCTCCTCCTCCTCCTCCCTCCTCCTCCTCCTCCTCCTCCTCCGCCTCCTCCCCTCCTCCCCCTCCTTTTCCTCCATTTCCTCTTCCTTTTCCTCCTCCTCCTCCTCCGCCTCCATGTGGGTCTCGCCTCAAACATGGCGCAGCAGTTACGAGGGCCGATGGCAACTCTTGCTCGCATCGGGGTTCTCGCTAACTGCTTCCTGGAGCTCGGCAACGAGCTTGAGCACATGTGGGTCACGGCTGCAACGGTGCAGGGCGGTTCCTTGTCAACGTACTGCAGGGCTCTCGCATGGGATTTCTTAACTCGGGACCAGAAGAGAACGCACGTGCATCAGTTTCACGGGTGAGAGGCGATCCGTTTTCAAACATGGGCTGTCGCTGGCAGGTCATTGAATATGATGATCATGCATGATCGCATGAGTTAGAAGTCGCCAGAAGGAAGTAGTCCAGTTCCATCCGAACTGGGGTCTCGCATGCATGGCACGACTTCGTCATGAGGTGCTCGTCTTTCATGGGGGGCGCCTCTCGCAGTGAGAAGGAAAGCTTGTATGGGCTTGCACGGAAGGGGCTTGGGACGGGAGTGTGCGTTGCAATATCGTTGATGCATCTAGGGTTTACGCTGGTCCTCCTCCTTCCCCCTCTCCTTCTTTTCCTCTTCTCCCTCCCTGCCCCCGAATCATCATGACATCAACCTCCTCCCGTTTCCCTCCCTTTGCCCTCTCCAGCCACCCACCTCTCCACTCCTGCTCCTGCTGTTCCTTTCGCTCCTTCCTCGGCTGGGGCCACACGACGGACTGGGATGAGCTCCGAGATGGCAACGATCCTCCTGTCTGTCCCTCTCCTCCGCCTCCGTTTCCCCGTGCCGGTCCATCCTCTCCTCCTCCTGCTCCTGCTCCTGCTCCTGCTCCTCCTCCTCCTTCCTCTCCGCCTACTCCTCGGCATCCACATCTTTCCGATCCATCCAAACAACTCCTCCCTGCCAGAACCCCAGACGTGTCGGTAGGGTGGGCAGGGCGTTTCGCCTGACTTGCGCGCGGTGAATCATCCTGAAGCTTGATGTTTGCAATCCTTACAAGGGTGGGACCCTGGTGGTTTTCAAACTGAGGCTATCGCCTCAGCGCTGCGCGCATTCGACCTGCAGCTTGCCACACCTACAAGGGTGGAGGGCAGCTCCTTTTCAAAACGGGGCTCTCGCCTCAACTCCGCGCGCACTCGTCTTACGTAGGAGCTTGCAGCTGTTGCAAACATGAAGATCGGCCCTCTGTCAACATGAAGCTATCGCTTGAGACTTCCTCTAATCCTGAGGCCAGAACGACGAAGTAGCGACAGCGCGGGTGGAAGGCGGGTCCTTTTCAAATCCAACCAGCCCTTTGGGCGAGGGTGGTCCAACGACATTTCTCTTCCAAGATCCTCTTCCCTTCGGGAGGTTAACCTCCCCTCCTCTCACCGTTTTTCCCAACCATCCTGTGGTGTTGGGTCCTCGTTTTGAAGAGACAGCGCCCGCGGCCTCCTTCCTTCCTTCCTTCTCCTCCCGCTGCCTCCCCTCCCTCTCCTTGCCTCTGCCCCTTGCGTGTCTCTGTTTCGGCACACCCTTCACACGGTTCGTGGCCCAATAGGGAGCTCCACCGAAGGCCCCAGTGGCAAAGTTCGCATGCAGTTCCACCCCAGTTCCGGCGCACCCCGCACACGGTTCGTGGCCCCATAGGGGGCTCCACCGAGGGCCCCAGCGGCAAAGTTCGCATGCAGTTCCACCCCCGTTTCGGCGCACCCCTCACACGGTTCGTGGCCCCATGGGGAGCTTCACCGAAGGCTCCAGTGGCAAAGTTCGCATGCAGTTCCACCACAATTTCGGCGCACCCCACACGGTTCGTGGCCCCATGGGGAGCTCCACCGAAGGCCCCAGTGGCAAAGTTCGCATGCAGTTCCACCCCCATTTCGGCGCACCCCTCACACGGTTCGTGGCCCCATAGGGAGCTCCACCGAAGGCCCCAGTGGCGAAGTTCGCGCGCAGTTCCACCCCAGTTCGGCGCACCCCTCACACGTCTCGTGGCCCCGTATGGTGCTCTACTGCAGGCCTCAGTGGCAAAAATCGCATGCAATTCCACCCGATTTCGGCACACCCCTCACACGGTTCGTGGCCCCATAAGGAGATCTACCGAAGGCCCCAGTGGCGAAGTTCGCATGCAAGACCACCCCCATTTCGGCGCACCACTCACACGGTTCGTGGCCCCATGGGGAGCTCCACCGAAGGCCCCAGTGGCAAAGTTCGCATGCAGTTCCACCCCTATTTCGGCGCACCTCTCACACGGTTCGTGGCCCCATAGGTAGCTCCACCGAGGGCTCCAGTGGAAAATTTCGCATGCAGTTCCACCCGATTGCGGCACATCCCTCACACGGTTCGTGGCCCCATAAGGAGATCCACCGAAGGCCCCAGTGGCAAAGTTCGCAGACAGTTCCACCCCCCTTTCGGCGCACTCCTAACACGGTTCGTGGCCCCATGAGGAGTTCCACCAAAGGCCCCAGTGGCAAAGTTCGCATGCAGTTCCACCCCCATTTCGGCGCACCCCTAACAAGGTTCGTGGCCCCATAGGGAGCTCCACCGAGGACAATTTCTACCATTGCGTTACTCATAACTGCATATGGTTGGGTCCTCCGCCAGGGTAATTTTTGCGGGGGAGGCGGGGGCGCGGGGCGTTAGATCGTCCAACATGGCGTCGGCGCAAAGGCCGAAACCATGTATTTGACCGAGGTGTTGGGCCTACATTGGCAATTTTGATGCCCCAAGGGGGCAGGCAAATAGGGGACCCCCCCTTTTTGCTCGATGGCCCCCAAGGTAGCCCCAAGAGGCCTCGCAGGGCTCCCAAAGGACCCCTAAGAGGGCTCCAAGAGGGCCCCAGTACCCTCCGAAAAAGCTCCAAGAGGACCTCAATCTCGACCAATACAGCCCAAATGTGGCTCCAAAAGGGCCTCCGATGCTCTAATATGGCCTCCAAAATGGCTCAAGATACCCGGCGATTGTTCATGAGAACTTCTGGCATACCTCCAAGAAGCCCGACGAGGGCCACACGACGGTTCCAAGTGCTCTCGGAGCCCCCTCAAGACCTCCCCCAAGAGACCAGCATTCTTCAAACGTCTAAAGAAAATCAATGATTTGTGACTTCTCGCCTTTTCGCTTCCGGTATGTTTTTGGGGCCTCAAGATGGCCCAAGAGAGGCCCAAGAGAGGCCCCTGACGGACCCAAGAGCGCCCAAGAGCGGCCCAAGAGCGCCCCAAGAGGGCCCCAAGAGGCGATTTGACGACCCCATAGGAGCACCAAATATTACGACCCCTTCTCTTTTCACCGACGCCCTCCACGATAGGATTGCCCCACGAGGCCCTCCAGGGCTCCCAACAGGCCTCTGAGAGAGTTCTAAGAGGGCCTCCGATGCTCTAATATGGCCTCAAAAATGGCTCAAGATACCCGGCGATTGTTCAAGAGAACTTCTGGCATACCTCCAAGAGGCCCGACGAGGGCCAAAAGACGGTTCCAAGTGCTCTCGGAGCCCCCTCAGGACCCCCCAACGAGGCCAAAGCCAATCAATCAGTTTGACTTCTCGCCTTTTCCCGTCCGATGCGCTTTTGATGCTTCAAGGCGACCCGAAGAGGGCCCAAGAGCGCCCCAAGAGGGCACCAAGAGGCGATTTGGATGTCCCCAGGGTGGGGCCACAATCGAGGACCCCCCCACTGATGACCGATGGCCCCCAAGATAGCCCCAAGAGGCCCTCCAGGGCTCCCAAGGGCCCAAGATAGCCCCAAGATGGCCCTCCCAAGATGGCCCCAAGATAGCCCCAAGAGGCCCTCAAGGGCTCCAGAAGGGCCCCCCAAGGGCCTTAAGACCCCCCAATGTCCCCCAACAGAGCCCACAGAGGGCTTCAAGAGGCGAGTTTGAAGGCCCTGTCCTGGTCATCGCTCTTCTCCTCCTACTCCTCGTCCTCGTCCTAGCCCTGATCGTTTTCCTTTTCCTGTTCCTCCTCTTCCTTGTCATCGCCGTCGTCGTGGTCGTCGTGGTCGTGGTCGTCGTCGTCGTGGTCGTGGTCGTCGTCGTCATTTGCCTTCTCCTCCTCCTCCTCCTACTCCTCCTCCACCTCCTCCTCCCCTCGCCCCCCACGCGGGCCCCAAGGATGGCCCCACGAGGCCCTCCAAGGCCCACCCCCTTGCTTCCAGGGATCTCTCTGTTCACCATGGTCGCCCGCTTTGTCTCACTACATGTCTCTCCGTCGCTTTCCCCGTCAACTCTCATGGGCCTGGTGTCCGAGGGGGCTGGTGGGGATGATTTTTTCTTTTTCGGTCGCGGCCGCGAGACGACGGTCAGGCGGCAAGAGCAAAGACCGGGACGCGAAGTAAGCGAATTAGCTAAGACAGGCGCAGGCCGGCCGGCCCACTCAGACAGCAGCTGCGAAGCTGAGGGGGGTGGAGCTGGCTGGTGGGGATAAGCGAAGCGTTACGAATTAGGCTCTCGCTTGAGACTTCCTCGAAGTCCACGGCCAGATGCGCAACCGTTCGTAGCAGTTGCACATCTTGGGGCGGCCTCTTTGTTTCTGGAGACCTCGCTGGACACCTCGCTGAGCTGTATGAGTACACCTTTCGCGTTCCTGATGCTTCACCATAAGGCTGCAGGACGGTTCCTTTTCAAAGGGGACTCTCGTCTGAATGGCAGGGGTACTGCTCTTTCAGGGGCGTTGGATGTTATGAAAAGAAAACTTGTTGGGGCTCATCAGGAGGTGACTTGGGGCAGGAGGATTAGTACAACCTCGTTGATGCATCTTGGGTTTACTCTGGTCCTCCTCCTCTTCCTCCTCCTTCTCCTTTTCCACCTCCGCCTCGCCTCCTCCCGCCTCCCCCAACCTCCTCCGTCCGTTCACGTTATTATCATCTTCCTCCTCCTCCTCCTCCTCCTCCTCCTCCTCTTCCCCCCCTGCATCCTTTCTCCTTCCTCCTCCTCCTTCTCCTCCACCCCCCTCCTCTTTCTCATCCTGCTTCTGCTCCTGCATCTCCTCCTCCTCTTCCTCCTCCTCCTCCTCCTCCTCCTCCTCCTCCTCCATGCCCGACTCCCGCAAAGACTGGAACCTCAGAACATGGGATGGATGAGGATATGATTTTGCCCTCGCTCCGCCGGGGCGAACAGGAAAAACGCCGGCGCAACTGTGCACCAGCTGTCCTTCGGGCTCGATCCCTTGCCGATGGCAAGACACGAATGCAGAGGACGAGGAGGCGGATGAGGGCGCCTGCCCCAAGGGTTAAGTTGGGCCTGTCCCCCTACAGGGGGATTTTCGACGAAAAATAAAAGGCACACCCAAAAATATTCAAAAGATAGTTCAAACACAGTCTGGGGACGATGTTTTGAGCACTTTTCGACCCTTTTGCGGTATGTTCGTTTTTTTTTTATCGTCGGCGATCCCCCTGCAGGGGCACAGGCCCGACCTAACCCGAGGGCGCCCGGCGAGTCCGTCCCCCCCCCCGCACCTCCCCCAGACGGGCCTCGTATCCCCAGACTATGTTTGAACCACATAGCGGGTTAGCCAATGGAGAATACTGTGGCGAGCGTCTGGTGCTCGCGAGCCTGAAAGCGATATGGCGGCAGGTGCAAACCTGTCCTGCTATCCTACTGTGTCTCCAGTCAGGTCACCGTGGACATTCGGGGAGCATGAGACAGAGGTAGCTCGCACCACACCCGCTGATAGGCAGGCGCCACTTTGCAACATGCTCTTCTGGAACTCTGACATTCCATTCGCCAGTGGCGACGACAGGCAAGCAAACGCCATGCAACCTGCCCAACTACGCAGCTCAACTGCACGCCGCACGCAGGTGCAGATCGACTGCACGCCGCGAGAAGGATCACTCAACTGCACATCTACAACGCCTCGTGTGTGAATGTGCCACGTACAACTTGAAGGCCGCATGCTTTCATACGTCAAACAAATGCGAGCGTGAACCAGTGTTTGACAATTGTTGGGGGTACTTTTTCTTTTTCGTCGAAGATCCCCCTGTAGGGGGACAGGCCCGACCTCACCCGAGGGCGCCCGGAGAGTCTGTCTCCCCCCCCGCACCCTGGCCATCGCTCGGAAGTCCATTCCCTGTGTTTTTTTCGGTTTCGTGCGTGGCTTTTTCGCCACATGGTCAAAAGCCGCAGTCCGCCAGGAGGTGCCGTCTACTTGACGGACCGAAATCTTGATAGGCACATTCCACTGCCACTTTCTGTAGGCGGCGAAGGTGTCCGACACGTCCCGCTCGTCGTCCACGGGGGCCGTCGGCGAATTAGGCGTCAACGTGGCATGCTTCACCGCATGCACCTTGAATTTCGCCCAAGGAAAAATGCACCGCATACTTGCCTACGCAAGGATGCTCCTCGATGGTCCTCGCCCATGGAACATGCACACGTCCGAGCGATGCCAAGCCCCAGACGGGCCTCGTGCCCTCGGCCGCCCCTCCGTGGGCCGAGACGGGGCCTCGGGGGGCCCAGCGGGGGCCCGCGGCCGGCAGCGAGCGGGAGGGGGGGGGGGGGAGAGGAGGAGGCGAGGAGGCGAGGAGGAGGAGGAGGAGGAGGCGAGGAGGCGAGGAGGAGGAGGCGAGGAGGAAGAGGCGAGGAGGCGAGGAGGAGGAGGAGGAGGAGGAGGAGGCGAGGAGGAGGAGGGGGCGAGGAGGAGGAGGAGGAGGAGGAGGCGAGGAGGCGAGGAGGAGGAGGAGGCGGCGAGGAGGAGGAAGGGAGCGAGAGGGGGGGGAAGCGAGGAGGAGGCCTCCTCGGAAGGCCTTCCTCGATCTTGGCGTCGCGTAGCGCTGCGGTGACAGACCGTGCGGGGACCTCGAGGTGCCCCCAGGGCCTCACCGCACGGTCCGTCACCGAACAGGTCTTGGGACCACCGAGGCCCACGTCGCCCGAGACAGCCTCAGAGAACGGCCCGAGTCCCAAAACCGCGCGGTGACCCATAACGGAACCTTTTTTTCCCAATCACCCTGCGCTGTGGGGTCATCGTCATGAAGAGACAGCGCCGCGCGTCCTCTCACCTCCTCCCGCCCTCCTCCCCCTCCTCCCTCCCCCCCTCCTTGCCTTTGCTCCCCGCATCCAGTCTGCCTCGTCGGAACACCCCTCAGACGTCTTGTGGCCCCATAGGGAGCGCCACTGGAGGCAACAATGGGAAAGTTCGCATGGCTCACCGACTCACCGCACGGTGTGGTCACCGCCCCGTTTGTCGGGAGCGGTCAAGAGGGGGGTGCCCAAGAGGGGGGGTGCAAATCATGACCGGCGGCATGTGCGCGGCCCAGCGGGGGGGCCAGGGACGTAATGAAATAAGAGGAGGCGCCATGAAATCTGGGGAAATATCATGACCCCCGCCATGATCCCCCCCCCTAGTCATCACCCCCCTCTTTGCCGCCCCCGAATTTGGGGGCCCCCGATAGGTGCAGGCTGCGGAGGAGAAGGAGGGCCGCCGGCTCCCGCGGCGGGGCCCTCCGAGGCAGCCCGAGCAGGGCGCGCTCCCCCGGCGAAGTGCGGCTCCCCAAGGCATCGCTCGACGCCCCGAGAGCTGGAGGGGGAGGAGGAGGAGGAGGAGGAGGAGGAGGAGGAGGAGGAGGAGGAGGAGGAGGAGGAGGAGGAGGAGGAGGAGGAGGAGGAGGAGGAGGAGGAGGAGGAGGAGGAGGAGGGAGGAGGAGGAGGAGGAGGAGGAGGAGGAGGAGGAGGAGGAGGAGGAGGGAGGAGGAGGAGGAGGAGGAGGAGGAGGAGGAGGAGGAGGAGGAGGAGGAGGGAGGAGGGAGGAGGGAGGAGGGAGGAGGGAGGAGGGAGGAGGGAGGAGGGAGGAGGAGGAAGGAGGAGGGAGGAGAGGAGGAGGAGGAGGAGGGAGGAGGAGGAAGGAAGAGGAGGAGGAGGAGGGAGGAGGAGGAGGAGGTCGGTCGGTCGGTCGCTGCATCGGGCCTCGGGTCGAAAGATCACTTAACCACAACTACACATCATAACGAATCGATATGTGCGACCTGCAGTGCGCGCTCAGGCTTAGGAAAACAAGGCGTGCCCTCCCTGGGAGCCCCGAATTGCCTTCGCTCTACCATTTACGGTGAGACTCGAGGATTTTTAAACGTTCAGTTAGACTGAGTGTTGCGAATTGCTCTACATCTGCTGTTCTATTGCTACGTTTCGGCATCACCTGAAACTGTACACTACTACTAGCTGGCTGAGGACGGGGAGGGGCCGTAGACGAACGGGCAGGAGGGGTCTGGACGGGAGGAGGGGGGGGATCCTGCACTGCAGTCCTCGATGGACCGCACCGAGGTCTGGCGGTCTCCGCCCTGAGCTCGGCCGCGCTCCCCGCGGTCACACTGCCACGCACCGTGGCCGCCGCGGCCTCCCGCGAGCTCAGCGGGTGCGGAGCACCAGCACCAACTTCCCATCCTCTAGGACCTGCCACGTCCTCAGCCGCATCTCCAGGAAGCCGTGTCAGATGTCTGAGAACTGGTCCAGCGCCATCTGCAGCACGCGCTCCTGGTGCCCGCGGGGGCCGACACCAGGCTTGTACTCCGCCCCCAGCTGTTCGGCGCACCTCAGGAAGCACTGCTCCACGCTGGGGTCGCTGATGCACATCACGATCTTGGCCATGCCCTCCTTGTAGCACTGCGAGACGCGGAAGCCGCGCACCAGGAACGTCAGCTCGGGGATGGGCATCGGGTCGATCCGCGCATAGATCGTCTCCCAGGCCTCCTTGTTGCGCATGCCCACCTACTCGCCCACGCTCTTGAGCGCGCGAGCGGCCTCGAGGAACACCTGGACGCAGGCGGGACCCATGATCGCCTCGGGCGTCTTGTGCTGCATGGGGTCGGCGTGGTGCAAGTCGCGCAGCTTCTGCGCCTCCAGCGCGTAGGCCTTGCCCGCCGTGAAGGACGCCTTCACCAGCTCGGCGTCGTCGTCGATGAGCAGCGTGTGGTAGCTCGTCGACATGAGCTGGCGGATGTTGAAGCTGTTGCCCAAGACCGCCTTCGCAATCACTGGGATGATCTTGAGCGCCAGCTGCAGCTCCATGGTCGGCAGCTTGTCCAGCGTGTCCTTCGGGAGCCCGTTGGTCTGGCCGATCTCGGCCTGCGCGGCGCGGCGATCGCCGCAGGCGCGAGCACCCTGCACTGCGGCTGCCACGGGCGCGAGCGCTGCGTCGGCGGCTGGCCGCGCGGCCGCGGCGCCGCGCTCGCTGCTGCGCCCTCCGCCTCCGCGACGGCGCACGTGGGCCCCACGGCTGGCACTCGCGGAGCCACCTCGGCCATCTCGCCCAGGCGCGGCACATCTGCAGGCGCATCTGCTCGAGCAGCATGCGAACGCCCCGAGCGCTCCTCGGGCCGTGCGGCGGGCTTCTGTGGGCGGTGGCGACGCTCGTGTCCTTCCGCCTCAGCCCGCAGGCGCTGTCATCACCGTGGGTTGACATGGGGAGCGGTGGGACTTGGAGAGAGGAGGGGTGGGTTGCATATCAGCGCGAAGAGAGATCCATCTCGGGCACTGAGCCTAAAAGGCTGGGCACAGCTAGAGCACGAAGGGGGGGGGGGAACCGACCCGAGAGACACGAGGGAAACCAAACATGGATTGGGGGGGCAGCGGGCCAAAATCTCGCGGGCTTAAAGCTGTCCGCGCCCCCCCCGAATCGCCGTCTCTCCTCCCAGGTGTTCTCCTCCCTCCTTCCTCCGTCCGTGCCCGGCCTTGCCCCGCGCCCTGTCCACCACCTTGGGGTCCTCCAAGGTCTGGGGCGGGCGCGTCTGCGGGCCAGGCGGCGTCGTCGTCATCGCCGCCGCAGCCGCCGCTCCACGGGGCCCCGAAACAACCTTGCAGGCTCTAGAACAGTACGAGAGAGCTGCCCCACAGCTCCCCGGAGACAAGGAAACCGAGACGTCACCGTCTCCCCCGAGGGAAATCCAAACAGGGCTCTCGAGCCCTGGAGCGTCAGACTCTGTGGCGGCCAGCATTTTCCGGCTGGCGCCTCTCGATCTCGACTTCAAACTTGCATTGGGCGAGCGCTCGTCCAGGCGTCCGTGCTCGTCCACGAGCACCAAGGTGCCCTTCGAGAGGAGGTCCCTTAGAGCATGATTACCCGAGGAGGGATCCACCTTGGTGAAAGGATCCGAGGGCATTCTAGCGTGCGGAACCCAACGCATACGAGAACCGACCGAGGCGAGCGAGTCTCGAATGACCGCGAGCTCCACAGCATTTCTCCTGTCGGCACGAGAGCCCGCTGAGTTTCGACTCAGCACGTCGAACACAGACTTAGCGTCTACCACTGACAGCCCTGAGGCCGCATCTCCTACCTGGCATTCGCTGGCCAGCATCACGGTGAAAGGCCGCTGGATGTCAAACCAAGCCGGCCTAGGAACGTCCCCAAACACAGGAGCGCCTGAATCCACTGAGCTTCTCCCGTGGCACCCGACAAGGCCAGAGTTTCAGCAGCCACGGTGCTGGACGCCGCTCTCTTGATGCGCAGCGATCTCCACGCTAAAACACTCACACGCGCGCGACGGCTGTCGCGTATGATCGAGTCCGCAGCCATAATGATCCAGGCCCCTTGGGCCCCACCACGGCGCGCGCTCCCGGGCCCGCCGGCATCGCTCGCAGTAACGAAAGTGACTGAGGCAGGATCCAAGTTCCAGATCGTGGGTCTCTGCTCAGGCGATGCTTTCAGGAACTTGCAAACCTTGATCAGCGCGAGCGCATCTGCCACGCAAGGCGTGGGCAGGGCAGCCGCTAGCAACGAAACTGACCCAGCAACATCCGGGCGAGACTCACGTGCGAGACACTGAACTTGTGCGGCCACCGTGCGGTAAGAGCTGATCTCTTCCCGGGTGAGTGGTGATTCGACCTGAGATCGACGATCCTTCCCCAAGAACATGGTCGAAAGCTGCTCCCGAATATATTTCTCTTGATCCACGACGATTCGATCGGGCAGTTGGCAGAGACGCCGTGCAGCGTAATCGGCCTCACGCTCCTTCCATTTAACTTGAATCGATCCGTGAGGGCCTGCTTCAGAGACTTCATGACGGTCTCTTCACCAGACAGGAGGAGATCGTCAACCTCGATCAGCACTAGGGCCTCCAGCCCTCCCAACTTGCTCCTCGTCAGCCAAAGACATGGCTCTAAAAGAAACTTGACAAAACCGAGCGAAGACAGGAAGTCCGTAAGAGTGCGGTGCCAGAGCAACGGAGCATCATTAAGGCCATACACCGGCGCAACCAGCTCAATTAGGGAGCCCACGGGCAGGCTAAGCCCGGAGCAAGGTTCCACATATATTGCACCATTCGGACGCTCCAAACGATTCGACTGGCAAAACGCGTTCTTCGCATCAGCGATGTTCAGAACCCAGTTCATCGAGGCAATAACCTGCAAGGTGACGAGGATACTCTCGGTCTGTGGCGTCGGTGCGTACACGGACAGATGTTCGCCGTCGGGGTCCTGGTGCCCGTGAACACACCAGCGCGACTTCGCCTTCGCCTTAGCCCAACCCCTTCCATCGGCTTAAATCGGCGCACCATGCAAGACGATAGCGCACGATCGGGATGGCGCCTGCGAGCGAGGCGTGCCTCGTCTGGGGAGAGCACTCGCACTGCGCCTGAGGACAGGATCGCTTCCCACTCGGCAGTGTCAGATTATGCAAACTGAGCGCGTTCCTCTGGAGTCAGATTCTTCATGACCACCTCAGCTCCCCGGGGGTTGGATGGCTTTCCCGATCCCGAAACCGTGGCCGTACCTGAGAACTCGGCCGACTCCGAGGAATCCTGGAAGAGAGTTAAGTAGTTGGGGGCCCCCCTCATGGCAGACCATCGCTGCAGCTCAACCAGGAGCTCAGCGTCCTGGGAGTCGTCCATTTCATCCAGGCCTCCAGGTGGGGTCTCATCCGGGGCTCCGTCTCCCCTCGGGACCGTCGGAACCACATGCCTTCCCAGGTCCATAGGTTGCGGGGGGGGGGGCAGGAGCGTCAAGCGCAGGACGCAAATGCTCCGGAAGTTCCGCGGAGGGGGGAAAGGAAGGAACGAGAGCGGAGGAGGACGAGGCAGCGGGAGAGGACCCGGAGGAGGGAAAAGGAGCATACCGTCTCGCGGACGGCCTCGGAAGCGACACCGACCTCAAACGAGGGACTCGCCCCCATACGTGACAGGGATGGTGATCTGGGGAGGGTCCCGGGGGCATTCCGTTCGCAGCGCGAACGTTCTCGATTTCCCGAACCATAGTGGCCACTCTGGCGGCCGGGCCCACCGCGTCCTCAATCGGGGTTAATCGGGGCCGCACGGCCCTGTCGTCTTCTGAACCCAGGGGTCTGGCGATCCCTCGAGAGGCGGTGGAATCCAGCTCGGATGGCGCTGGCTCTGAACCGCTCGTGGCCCTTGCCATCGAGGGCTCCGACACTTCAGGAATCTGCGTCTCGTCTCGGCTCGGCGGCTCGGCGCGCACCTCAGTCGTCCGAGGAGCCGAGGCGGGGGCAACAGCTGGGGTCGACGCAGGGACGGCGGCGGCGGGTTTCAAGACCCGCGTCTTAGAGCTGGGCGCCGCCTGGTCACCAGCGTCGGGCCCGTCCCAAGCCTCAGGGGGAGGGGGCCCCTCCGCCGCGACGTCAACAGCCCCTGTCTTACGCCCCGGGGCCCTGACCTGCTCGCGCAACACCTCAAAACGAGCCGAATCCAGCAACTCAGCGCCGAGGGGCTCCTGACGAGTGGCAGGCCTAACTTGCTCCTCGGAGCACTTGAGTAAGCGGGTTCTCATAGCCACCCACACCGTTCCTTTACTTTGATAAGCTACGGCCCCGGGACCAGTCCACCTGTCACGTTGCAGTGAGTGAGATCGGTTAGACCCCGTCAGCCTCCTCCACACGTACACCCATTCCCCTGGCTTGAAAAACCTTTCGGCGTGAAGCCGAGCGCGGCTGGCCTCGGACAGCCGAGAGCGTGCGTCCATGGCAGCCATGGCCTTGCGAACCTCTTGGCGCAAAACGCGACGTCGAGCAAACTCCGCGGCGGCAGAATCCTGCTGAGAGGTCCCTCCGAGCACATCTTCGCAGCCAACCAGGTCCAACTCGTCGTCAGACAGCAGTGGCCGGGGCACTCTCGGGGCCCTACCCAGAACCATCTGAACCGGACTGAAACCCCCTCGATGGTACGCGCTG